CCAAATAGTCTATGTTCCTTTGGATCTTGTACCACTAAATACTACAAAACCTTTTTTGTTGATGCCTCACACTCTACCACTGTTATGTGATCTCAAAGTCTTGAACATGTGGCAATTGGGAGAAAAGAGTATTGGTAAAGTATGATGCTTACTGTAGGCAAACATCTCCTGATGCTTAACTATAAACTTCAAAATAAAACCTAGAGCTACTTTCAAAAGAGTAACACTTACATCCTGCAAGAGAAAAAGACTAATCTATCTGACAGGAGAAAATACCAGACTCATAGCTGCTCACTCAGTAGAGCAATACAGAAAAAATAGGTTTTGATTGGCTTTTGAAACATACTTTTTGTATGCTTTGGACAGCCCTTGGAAGCAAGTTATTATCAAAGCAGAAGTACAGGGATCTTAATCACAACCCATGGTCACTGGTTTTTTTCTGTCAATGGCACAAAGAAAAATCAGTATCTCCAAGACATTTCTATTCTGTTCTCAGCATTACTTTTCACATCTACCAAGAAAAACTATTTTTTCTGTTAAATTTCACTACTTTCTTAATATTGCATTGCCTCTACAAATTCAGATTATGTAAAATCTGCACAGCTTTGCACATGTAAATGCAAAAAAGCATTTACCAGTCACAGCAAGCACCTATAGTACAGATGGCAGAATTTACCTGGTTATAGTGAGTTTCACAATAAGCCAGTCCTTTTTTCTCATAGTGTCGGTGCCCCAAGAATGGCTTCTCACATTTGGCACAAACAAAATGCTGTAAAAGAAAAAAAACATTCAGTGGCAGGCAAAGTGACTTTTCCATCACCAGGGAAAAACTTGCATGGATACAAATCGTGGCTCAATATGAGACTTATGTCATGAGACAATCATAGAATCATGGAATGGTTTGGGCTGGAAGGGACCTTGAAGATCATCTAGTTCCAACCCCCCTGCCATCAGCAGGGACACCTTCCACTAGACCAGGTTGCTCAGAGCCTCATCCAACCTGGCCTTGAATACTTCCAGGGAGGATCATCCACAGCTTCTCTGGGCAATCTGTGCCAGTGTCTGACCACCCTCACAGTGAAGAAATTCTTCCTAATATCTCCTCTAAATCTACCCTCTTCCAGTTTAAAACTGTTATCCCTTAATGCTTTAATGAAACTCAGTCCAGAAAATCTTTCTGGAAGTAAAAGAAAAGCGGAAATATTTAGTCTACTATAGCAATTAAGATTGCATTAAAGATGGGTAGAAAACCTGCTAAAAGGGCAGGTGTCTATACTGATAGACTTGTGGACTATTATCTTGCTTGTTTCAGAAAAGAGAAACAGGAACATAAAACATTGTTGGTATGAATGCACTTCAAATGAGCGGGATCATCTCTCTCAGTCCAAGCCCTAGGAGGCTTAAATCACTAAAACCAGAAATCACTAAAAAAGTTCAGACCTAGCTATGACGACTCAGCTGAAAGTTATAGAAACAATGAGCTGAAAAGGTTTAAAAAGAAAGAATTGTACTGGCTCTGTCTACGTCACAAATTCTAACACTGTTATGAACCTGTTAACTGGGGTTGGAGAGGATATATCTAAGTACACCATAGTAAATATATAAATTTATTAGTAAGTAAATGCTGTTCAGTGAACCATATTCGGTAAGAATCTTTACAATGCAACTCAGGCATTTTAAAGTTAAGGTTATTACTGCTGTAAAAGCACAGTTTGCTAGGCAGTCCTGATGACCCTGCTGTAGTCAGTCACTCACATAAGGTGAAGACAATTTGAAATATAAGCAATTGTTTTTTATCTGAATTCATGTATTACAGATCATGTAAATGTCTACAGCTTCCAACAAGCACTAGTCCTCTTCCAAAACGGCTCCCAAAGGAAGTCTCAGATTCAGAGAGGCCTCACCTCAACATGCCATTGCTTTCCCAGAGCATTGACCACTCGTCCCTCAATGGGCCTGCGGCATGCTCCACAGATGGGGATTCCCATCTTGTCATGGCAGGGCAGGCAATACAGTTCTCCCTTCAATTCCCGTGCCTCAGCAGTCAGCTCCTTCCTGAAAACACAAAACATACCCCTGAAGCCAGAACACCAAGTGAAGCTCTCTAATACTCAAGATGAAGTTTTGGAAGCCTAAATTTGAAAGTTAACATACTTTGGCAACATTCAAGCTACAAATGCAGAGTCATTAAATTAAGCTAGTGAAATACAGTTATTGTCAACTCATCCTCCTAAAATTGCTTTCTCAATTTGCCAGACGAGAACATATGTGGAATATCATGTATTCACCTAGATACTGTGGCAGAAATATGAGGTCCACTTACAGAACAAGGTACTGTCATGCAAAGACTCAAGCTATCTTTGAATGGGATAGCTCAGGTACAAGGACCACCCTAGTACCATCCTAGTAGTGCTCAGCACTGAGCCATTTACTTTATTCTTCAGTACTGTTACCCATTCTAGGGCAATACTGCGCTCCAATTATACTGTCTTCATGGGAAGTAATCCGGGTCAGACAGGTATCTGTATGGTAACAGACTGTGCCAGAAGACTGACATAGCTCACCAAGTCATCTTTTTTTTCCTATCCAGGAATGCAAAATGAAACTATTTTGAATAGCCTGGCAACAGCTATCTTTGGACAACACTATTACTGTAATCTGCACACAGCCTTTCAGGTAAGTTCATTCCAAGGAACTATTTTCATTTTCAGTATAAAATAAACCTGAGCTGTCACTCAGGTTTAGGATAAAAGAATATTGAAAGGCAAAAGAAAACTAAAGTTCATGTAGGCTTTCCAGATTTCTTTCAATTTCTCCTCAAACAGTTTGTGTTTGTTCAATGTGAAGGCAGCAAAGTTTAGGCCTTGGAAAGGACTGTACTGTTTGTCTCTCTCCTTTTTTGTCAGAGTTTGGAATATGAGAACATACCCACAGTGGGTACAGTTGAAGTGATCCGGATGGTAGGAATCATTCCTAAACATCAGAGGCTGCTCATCAATTATCAAGTGGCACTTCTGACAGATGTACTTGCCCAGTCCTTTAGCTTTTTCACGGTTATGGCATGGCCTGCACAGATGCCTGGTTGAACAAGAAAAGAAAATAAAATATTAAGAAATTATTTCTCCTAAAACAATGTACAGTGCATGCTGTAGGATGTACTTTATTAACTGAAAAAGTGTCTTCCGAGGTCAGACTAAACATAATTTAGTTTAGTATCCTGTCTTTCACACCTGTTGCATGGAAAAGAATATGTGGACAGAGCAGCCAGAGTTATATTACCTTAGAATACTCCTCCAGCATTCATTGTTTTGTTTCCCATCAGGGATGTCACCCTGTTGTTCTAGGTATTCTTTCCAGTTCTTCTAGATCCTTTTTGAGAGGTGGGCAAGGAAAGGTGGCAACACCTTCTCTCTATTATTAACTATGGGATCCAGCCATAACAGAGGCATTACAGCACTAGGAGGGAGTCGAGGATATTAAACCAAAACACATTGCTCGAATGCCTTTACCATGGCTCAATTCCTTAGTCTTCAATGGCTAGGACGAACAAGAGACCACTGAATACTAGCTCTTCTGTCTACAAGTTCATTTTAGTCCCGAGTTAAAGAAAATAACTACGCAATTTTGCAATTTTATGTGGTAAATGTAACTGTGCTGCTATCACATGTTCTAGAACATATTACAACTACAGTCCTGAACAGGTAGATAAGTCAAATTTCTGGTAGAAAAGCCTGGGCAAAGGCACAAAAAACTTCTGTAAAGGCTGCTGAAATCCACCAGTTTTGTCCCAATATTTAGGAGCTCTGAGGAGAAGCTATTCGGTTTACTTGCCTATTACCTACCCCTCTAGCTGCAATGCTGCAGGCTGGGAAGAATTTATGATAACACGAAAATGACAGAGGAATGACTTCTGTGAGTTTTTGTCATGAAACAGACAAGCCTGCTCAATTCCTTTCACTGTATCACTATGTGAAATACTTGCTGAGATTTACAGGTCATTCTCAAAAGACACCAGACAAAAGGAAAAGTTCAAATGGAAAGGGTAGATTTATGGCTGAAGTAGGGGGTTCTTTGCAGGGCCCCTTCCAAAATTCTGCTGTGATGAATCACTTACCCTTAGATCTGTGAAATGGGGATAAGAATACAACACAGATGTTGTTGTGAGACCTCAAACATTTATGACCCTCAGCTGGCAGGCGCCTGTCTAAGTGCTAAGTATCATTATTATTCTCTCCAAATCTGAGTCCTCCTGTCAGCAAGTGTCTCTCTCCAGGACTGGAACTACTGTCTGCCCAGACGGAGTCCAGAAAAAGCAGACAGCACCCCATTATAAGGAAACATGCAGCTGTGCTCATCTCAGCATAAAGGCATCAATTTTATTCAGCACTGTCAAATGTAGAGTAATTATACAGGGCAGGACATAGGGACCCTGAAGCAAGTGTCCTGAAAGAGACCCCTCTCATTCGGCTGAATAAGATGCCTTCAGCCATTTGCACTGATAAACCATTATCAACCCCTCCCCACTCACAAACCCTTCTGCCATCCCATAGACCCTCCTCTATTGCAAGCAAAGGGAAGTGTTGGACAGGCTAAGCTGTTACCATAGCAGCCGCCCCTCTCCCTCTCCCCCTCCCCACTCCCACCATTATGGAATTATCCCATTCTGAAATGTCCTGTTGTGTCGATTAATACCAGACTACCCCCAAACAATGCTTCTCTCCACCCTCCTAAAATCATCAGGGGACTCCAAGAAGTCTGTGTTCACGGCTGGGAGTTCAGTAGCAGCCTTCAGTAAGCACCATGAACACTGGAATATTCATACAATATATTCATATCTATAACAGCAGCAGCAACCCCAGTGCCAAGAGCTCAGCTGGGATGAAGACTGCTCTTCAGTGCTGGGGTGTTCTTTCGCCTGCTCTTCTGTGTGACTGAGCTGATAATGCGCTATCAGAGCAAGGACACTATATAGAGGGGCTCCCCTCTCCACCCTCAGCAACTCTGCAACTGTGTGCTCTTTTTGGATCATCTTGTTGTTCTCATCGTTGCTGCTTCTATTTGGTTTGCTGTCATCAGAAGGAGTTCCTTGAGATTTTCCCCAGAAGGACCCTATACTCCCATAGGACTGCAGAGTAAAGAGGTAAGAGACAAGCTTCTGTTAGCAGAATAATGAAGGAGCTTTTCGAATGGCATAGTTTTAGGTAGTGTCAGTGAGGTGGAAAGGCACACACACAGAAGCAGATGAATGTAATGGAAATGTTTGAAACTAAGAACAAGGCAGCATTTTTTGAACTTCAAAGAATAATTTCCTCACTCTTCTTGACATCGCTCCTCCAAAACCTAAGTTTTCAAACTTCTGTACCTAATGTACATCCATTTGTGCTATCAAAACTAACAGTTGTATGGTATGTCCAGTGCTCTCTGATACTGTGCTTTGATGCTCACAAGAAACAAGTATTTCAGCTGAAGGGTGGGATGCTCAGCAGGGAGTGATTTTCAGGAAAATAATTTCAGTCAGTAGTGCACTGTTTCTAATGAAGAGTACTTTCAGTGAAAGATAGGAGACACTCCCATTTGACAAGACACTACAACCGTAATCATAAAAGCCCACAAACTAGCATAACCCCAAACCAGAAACTGCTCTAGCTGAGAGTGAAAATAGGAATTTATGATATCCACTACAAACCCTAACATATAGTTCAAATTTATCTGCAGTGGACATTATAACAAAAACTCTAAACTTCCCAGGTAACTAGCTAACAATGACCTAATATTTCTTCTGCTTATTAATTGTTTCATTAATGACAGATAGAGCATTTGCTGAAAGAGTAATCAGGTTGTGTCTATACTGACAGCCTTGTGGATTGTTATCTTGCTTGTTTCTGAGCAGAAGAGAAACAGGGCATAAAATATGGGTAGTGTGCATGCATTTCAAATGAGCATTGACATCCCCATTATAGCTCAGCCCTGGGAGGCCTGGGATAATGGCTCATTCCAGAATAGTGCTCTGTTTCGAAATACGTAAATCACTAAATATTCGCACAACACCAGGAGTGCAATCCAAGCGGAAATTATTGGACAATGAGCCAGACTCCTAAAGGAGTTTTCTGTCTGTGGCGTCCAAGCCTATTGCACCATATAGCTTAGCACAAACTACACATTCTAGGTCATTCGGGAATGTTTGTAGTTTACCCTGAGCATTCATACAGACCAGTACAACAAGCTTTCTAGGACTTTGAGTGCTTTTTTGTAAGCATAATGAACCAAAACGAAAGAAAAAAAAAAATTAAACAAGAAAAAAAATTAAATTAAACAATTAGAAGGAGGCCCACGTCCCTTCTCTATGATTTCTAACCAGGCAATGAAAAATACCTCCCTTCATCTTGCTCTAAAAAGTAAATTAGGTAACAGCATCTCTCCTATGAAGGCACTCATTTGAAAAGACTCAATCTATTTAAATTTTATCATTAGTTCTAAGCCTCTCCCTTCCTGACATTGACATACTGAGCTTCTAGATAGCTCTGACATTCTCCTTTCTACCCCACCCCACCCAGTATTTTGTAGTGAAAGCATGTCCAAATAGAAATCAATTGCAGACTCAACGCTGCCATCAGTGAGGACAAAACTCTCAACTTTTAAGTCTTGGCTGTTCCAAGTCTGGCACTGATACTCAGCTGAATCTGAATCCCAAAGATCCTCCTTAGGAAATCAGCTCAAATAGCACCAGTTCAATGTATCGTGCTGCTAAACCCCTAGTATTTAGCTTGTAAACAGGGAAAAAGTCTGCTTACTGCTTCACTTCCTGAATTGATTTAAATAATTAAGATAAGAGACGTACTTGCCTGTTCCATTAGACAACCCTTCTGCCTTTTCAGCTGGTCCAAGCCAGCATTTACTACTTTCTCAGTGTCACAACCATTTATATAGTAATGCTTAACCATCAGCCACCACTGACAGGTGTGTATATAAAGATCACCTAATTCTATTTTTCACAAATGAAAAGCATGTTTAAACAAAGTGCCTAACACAAAAAAAGGCTACATAGCCAGAACATGAGGTGATAAGTACCATTGTGAATTAACAGCCAGTAAAAAGGCATGGTCTCACCTTATTTCTCCTTTGGTATGCAATAGAAAAATACATATTTAAACTAATTCCATCCAGGGAGAACAAGTATTTCAGCATTCAACATTACTATCACATAGACACTTGAAAATCTTGTGTTTAAAAATACAGGGACAAATAAACACTAGAAACAAAAACTGCAGGTTCCTCTGCAAACCCAGGAAATGAACACGGAAAATTGCAACAGGGAATTTTCCTTTTGTACATGAAAGCAAGATGTCACATGTATTTTTATAGATAAAACGTCCTTTGGAAAACAGGGCTGTACCGTCTTCCTTGCACATGCACTTCTAGTAATTTCAAGCCAATAATTTGTTGCCAACTCCAGGACTACAAAGAAGCATGCAGCTGGCAGTAGGCAGTGAGTACCCACTCAATCAAACCTAGAGTCTTTTTTTGTGCCATAAACATGCAGGGTATCTAGGTAATCATGGAGTAAGATGGCCCCTCTGTGGCCATATTCAGTAATTTCAGTTTCTGAATTTCATTCAGCCTCCTTTCTGTTGACTTTTGTCCCTTCAATAGTGAACTAAACAGAAGTTTTCCACCACATTCATCTCTAGCTATTGTAGCTTTTTGTCCACCTGAAAGTGACGGCAGCCAAACAAAAGATGGCAATTACCTTTGTTTACATTTGCCAATATATTGATCTGTTCTTAATCCCATTTAGTATCTTTATTAGCCACCAATATTTTTAGACATCTGAATAATCGTTTCTGTTGGGAAGCTGGATGCACTGTGTAATGCCTTGGAACAACTGTCTAATGATGTATGATTTTAGCATAAAGCATAGCTTCTGCCCAAGACTGAAAATTTTGTCTTAACGGTGTGAGCAACCATCTTAAAATTTTAATCTCAGTAGAGGAAAATTTATGTATTTAAAGATGCATTGAATATTATGGAGAAATGGTCAATCAACACAAACAGCAACGGTGAGCATAACGGAGGTACTGCTGCACGTACTGTAACACTTCTGAGGAATCCAAGAAACAGCGACAGTGCTGGAAACTCTGCCTGCATTTCCTTTCTCTGTTATTCAACTGATCTCAGCACAGGCTAGAGGCAAGCTCATTATCAGCTAACTACCTGAATATAGCAGTTCCTTCAACAGGAGTTAGCGGTCTGGAAAATACAGTTGAGCAGGAGGTATTCAGAATTTTAATATAAGGGTTAAACTCTGACTGACCTGTCACATTAAATACCAGTATTAGCAAACAAGACACATCACTGATTTCCATGTGTGGTTTATTGTGTGGGTTTTTTAGGTTTGTTTGGTTTTTTCCTTCACAGAACCAGCTCTTTTGTAATATAATGTCTCAATTCTTTCAGGTTTGGGGTTTTTTTTTTTCTTCAAAACTGTGGTGAAAAATGAATGGCCCAGCAGATCCCTCAAGCCTACTCTTCAATTGCTCAAATCGATCAAATTCCTCTCTGGAAACATCAGAGCAATGTGGCAAAGAGACACACCTTGAGAACATCCTTTTTGCCAGTTTCTACTTCCTGGACTTCATCCTGGCTTTTGTTGGCAATGCCCTGGCTCTCTGGCTCTTCATCCGGGACCAAAAGTCAGGCACACCTGCCAACATTTTCCTGATGCATCTTGCAGTGGCTGACCTGTCCTTTGTGCTGGTACTTCCCACCCGGCTGGTGTACCATTTTTCTGGTAATCATTGGCCATTTGGTGAGATCCCATGCAGACTCACTGGCTTCCTTTTTTACCTCAACATGTATGCCAGTATCTACTTCCTCATGTGTATCAGTGTTGACCGTTTCCTAGCCATTGTGCACCCTGTGAAGTCCATCAAGCTCCGCAGGTCCCTTTATGCCCATTTGGCATGTGCCTTTCTATGGGTTATAGTTGGGGTTGCAATGGCACCTCTGCTGCTCAGTGTGCAGACAGTTGAGATGAAAAACACAACCATCTGCCTGCAGCTCTACAGAGAAAAGGCATCACGTCATGCCCTTGTGTCCTTAGCAGTGGCATTTACCTTCCCATTTGTTACTACAGTGACTTGCTACTTATTAATCATCCGAAGCCTGAAGAGTGGGAACAGAGTTGAAAAACACCTGAAGGAAAAAGCTATCAAAATGATCATCATGGTCCTGATGATCTTTCTGATTTGCTTTGTACCTTATCACATCAATCGCTACATTTATATCCTACATTACAATGGGATCAAAACTTCCTGTGAAACACAGCGTATTCTGGCCCTCAGTAACCGCATCACTTCCTGCCTCACGAGTCTAAATGGTGCCTTTGACCCGGTCATGTATTTTTTTGTAGCGGAGAAATTCCATGAGGCTTTGTGCAACCTGTTTTGTGTTAAAAAGACTGTAATGTTACCTCAAACATATGAAGGTAAGACAAATGAAAGCTCACTAAGTGCTAAATCTGAACTGTGAACGTGACTCTTGTCAATGCATTAACTTAAGAACGCTCTATTCCACCAAAATCAGCTGAGAGTGCAAATACGCAGAGAGACAGCCCACTCAGAGTCAAACTCATCCTGAGGAGGGAAGTTCTGTTGTTTTTATAGGACTGCAATTAGCAAGAACCCCTCTGACAACAGAGATCACATGTTCTTGTCTTACTGAAACTGCAAACAGGAGTATAGTTCTACTGATTTCCAAGATGTGAAACTGAGGGCTGAATACTTAGGAATAGGGAAGGGAACAAAGAGGCTATTAAATGGCTTTTAAAAAAAAAAGAAAAAAAGAAAGAAAAAGAAAAAACCCCAAAGCATTCAGTTAACAACTCTTCCTCTGCACAATGCATACAGCCTACTTTAACATTTTAAATTGTGTCAGCAGTAGAGATCCACTCCTGAGATAGACCTGCCTGATGAAAAGACAGTATGCTTGCACATCAAGTCTCCAAATTCAAAGTGTTTATACATAGTAGACAGAAAATTGGTACTAAATGGTGACAAGAAAAAAAGACCAAAATGCTGCAATGCACCCAACCTGGACCGAAATTAAGATAGGACTTACAATTTTTTTTCCCTTCTTCCCAGCATTCAGAGCTGGAAATGAGCACTAAACTTCACACTATTTTTTCCATCTGCCCTCTGCCATTGTCTCAAAGCTGCAGGCAGAGGTTGGACAACAGTCACTACACTGCCTCTTTTATGTAGTTCCCTGAAAAACATCAGATATCCTGATAAACCTCAAACTAAAGAATGGAAAAGGGCTGTTCAGGAATACAGCATTCATCTTTACTACACACCAAATATATGAACCCAAACAACAAAAGCAAATAAAAGTAAGCAGTGAAGTGAAGTCTACTTTGTCCGGAACAGATTCCTATCTTTGAGGTGTTTTACAGTTATTTTTGTGACTTCTCTATCAAGACTATTCCTTCGCTACAGATAAAGTAGGTATTATCTTAACTATCCTCACTGATACAAATTGCATCCAGCGGAATATGTCTGGAGATGACAGGGAGACTAAGGAAGAACAGGAACTATGAGAAGCGGGAAAAAGAACCCAAGTTTCCAATAATATTTACTAGAAGACTACCTCTATGCGATGGAGATAAATATTATAGGAAATCATGTGACAGGTTTATTATATTTTATATGTACAGATACACATGCATATCCCTTTTCTATGCTTTTGGGAATGAGCTCCTTACTATTTTAGATTTGGTCCACAAATTATGAAATCGAACATACTTTATCTTGCTTGAATTGCTTTAATCCTAACTGCTTTCCCAAAACACTCCAGGCGCTATCACAACAGCCCATTCTAACAAGCCGAGGTGTCAAAAGAAAATCAATTATGTCCAACTCCAAAAACCAAGGCAGAGAAGCTGCATCCAGGATGGAAGAGAAGAGGGAGTTGAGAGGACTCCCTGCTGGACAGGGTACAAGTATATAACCTTTCCTTCCCTTCTTCACCATTTAGTTAGTGAGAATATAAACCCTAGGAAGCCAAAAGGCTTTGCTCAAGACATCTGAAAGACTGAAGTTAACTGAACCGTGCGACACTGTCTGCTAACTGCTGGATTGTTTTATTTTCTTATCAAGGTATGCTTTTGTACAAGTTCCGTTTCATGTTTTTTATTTCTTACTTCTTAATTAAATGCATTAATCAACCTTTAGGACTCATTTTTATATTTCTGCACATAAAATTAATGATTTCTGAAGACCAAGGGAATCACATGCTGAACAGGCTTTGCTGTAATAGTCTGTGGTTTTTTTTTCTTTTGTCCTTTTGCTATATCTTGATTTCCTGCTCAGCAGCTTACTTGATAAATAGCCTGCCCAGGAGCACATATAATGCCTTTTTTCACTTGCTATTCAGCCTTTTGCCTGAAATACCTTTCTTTTCCAGAACCAATCCACTAGCTACTAAAATCTGAGTTTCTGCTTTCTACATGTTTCATTGGATGAAGAACACAGCTCTTCATTCCATTCCCCACCTCCTAACAGGCTATTCCTTAAAGCTTCTTCTGTGCCTTTTCAAGCTTTACTTCTCAGTGGTACAACTAACTTACCACTCTGAATATGTCACTACTGTATCAATAACATACTGATAAAACTTTTAGAACTCCTGCTCTCTCTCTCTCTTACCTGCCAGCATTCTTCACAAAACCCAGGTCAGCAAGTGCTACATCGCAGAGCTCACACCGGAAACATTCTGGGTGCCAGTTATTGTTCATTGCCTTGATAACACGCCCAATAATGAACTCACCTGCAAAAGGAAAGCAACACCTTGCAATGCAAGAAGAAAACAGTCTTATCAAAAGTCTACTGCCCTCCCTAATCCTCCCACTTTAATGCCACAAGAACTATTACAGTCTAAATTCGAAAGAAACCCCAATTATTCCCACAACCAGGATACCACAAATCACTGTGGGCATCATGTTTTGTTTCCCTCCAAAGCTCCTGCTCCTTAAAATTACTTCAACAATTCCAGGCTGGGACTGGACGTCACTGCAATGGTGGGAGGTTTGCACAGCCCTGTAGCTGTTGCCCTACAGTGTTGACATGCACCGCATCTTACCACATTCCCCGCAGCAAGGAGCAAACAGCATCTGAAAGTCATGCTCACAGTACTTCCGACCTTCAAACTGTGAACAAAACAAGAGAGAAGGAGCCCTTATGAATAACTGAACTACCTTCGTTTCTTGACAGTGCAGCATGATTTTTCATTGAAATGACCAAGTAGTCAAGGTCAGTCAAGTTTTCCAGTTCTATCCCCCCCTCACCTGTTTTCAAACTCATAAGGATTTTTCTTAAAGAAATACCCAGATATGGCTTAAGCTTCATGGTGAATTTGAAGAGCAAATAGTTAAATTAATAGCCATTGTGCTACAAGACAGTAAAAATCTTGAAGTGTTCAAAGGCTTTTCCTATAGTTGGCTTTAATTTCATTTTTGCTTTAGTTTTTTTTAACTCATGTAATTCAAAACTACTCCTACATAAGGTTAAAACACAGCAAATTAAGAATGCAGCACATTTAAAATAATGTGTTACTCAAAATATGTGCTTGCACATATTCTGTAAAAATATTTCAACCTCATTTTTAAATGGGTTCACCCATTCAGTTGCCCAATTGGAAAAGATTGGTACAAAATGTTTAAAAATATAAATAAAAATTCACTTATGTCTAATGAAATAATAAGGAACATTTTCTACTTCGTTTTTGAAATGCCTCTTACCCAAAGAGCAAGCACACAGTTTTTGTTGTTACTGATGTATGGGAAGGAGTATGTGAGAAGAAAAAGATAGAAATTAACTCAGAAGACACTCAAAAAATAGGAACAAAAGTTTAGGGCTAAAAAATTAAACATGCAAGAAAGATGGAAATTAGTATTTCTGACAGACTTTTCACCTAACTCCTTGCATTTTAATGGAGCTATTTCTCTTCTCTTGCATACAGTATGAGAACTCACCTCATAAAAAAGTCCATCTGGGAACTGACGAAAACACTGAGCACAGACAAAGCAGTTTTCATGGTAGAGCTCCCCATTGCTGTTCACAATCCTCTCTGCAGGATCAAAGCGAGTCTGGCAGCGCTCACATACTGCATTTGCGAGAGCATCAGACATATTACTGGAATAAACACAAGAGTAAGAATATGAGCAATGTCACAGCCAATCACATGAGTATAATACTATCATCCAAGTTTCCCCAACATCTCTGAACACAACATTTCCACTGCTTTAAACTCCCTTTTATATGAAGGAAAAAAAAAAAAAAAAAAAGACTAATGAGTCAGTTCAGCACTGACATCAATTAGAAATAATGTTCTTGCAACTCACACGTGGCAGACTGAGCTCATGTAGCAGACTTACCTATTGTACACTTTTGGCTGCTTCATCAGTCTTTCACTCTATTATGTCGTTCTGATAATAGCTCATACCAAATATCCACAATTTTAACTAAACCAGTAGTTCAGGGAGTAGCAAACACAATGATCATGCCTCCTTGGTATTTCTGGTCTCAGTATGTGCACCTCAGAGGACTTTCTGATGTGCAATGAGCACTGATATCCCACTGCAGTCTCCCCTTCACTCTGGGAATTAACAGGGCATTTACCCCTCTAGCCAGCAGATTATGTGTACAAGATTCATTGGAAAATAACTGCATACAATGCTTCTGTCTTCCTGAGAAATTAGTTGAAACTCCCAAAGTGTTAAAAAGGTACGGGAAGAGAGAAGTCTCTGGCTGGCTTGGCAAATACATCAGCTTCATTTCCTCAGAAAGTGAGGCTAAAAAAACCCCCAAAGCCACACTCACAAATTGTGTAAAGGACATTTCCTCTGTCTCCCCTAAAATGTGGAACAATCCTAACCTCTTTCACAAAATTTTCAGGCTTGCCATCACGGTAATCTAAGTTCTCTATATGCTAACAGAATGCAGCTTTAAAATCGTATATCGCACGTCCAAACTGGAACAGAAAAATTATAAGGAAAGAGTCTCAGTTTCTTGTTGCAATGTGATCTTTCTTTTAACCACCAGAGTATCCAATACTATAAAAATTCATTATTACACTTTTGGATATAGAAAAACTATTTTATCCCTCCTGGGCACCTTCTGAATTCTACGATTGGCAAGACAGCAGTTTTATAGGTGGGAGTATAAAAAATTTCCAACACGTTAATCTCTGAAATACTTGTGTAGTAGTTTTCCTGAAGCACATAAAGTATACATAAAATGAAAGATGGCTTGGTTTAAAAGGGGTTTTTTTTCTTTCTTTTTACATTCAAAGCTACTTCGAACTGAATTCCCATTACTAGTGTTATTCTACAACCTGGCGTGCTACTTTCCACACCTCTTCATAGAGAACAGTAATTCAATAAGCATGTTCCAGTAGCAAGAGGTTCTCTTTCCTCTGATCAGAGACACTCCTCCAAAGAGATGCCACCGTTTGTATTCCAGGACTTTGTGCTCTGA